CTTAGGTGGTTTTGTTCTGGCTTTGTTTGCTTTTTCAAAAAACACCAGCACCCAAGTGACAAGCACAAGGTGACTTCTGTTCCAGTTACATCTATTCTCTCTCCATCCCGACGCCCTGCTGTAGGCCCGTGGGGAGCGCACGAGATTGAGTCAGGGTATCAGTGGTGTCATCGCTCCTACTGATGTGTCCAGCATGACACAGCAGGTGGGGCGGTGTGTGCAAAGCTCTGCCTTTTGGAAAAAGTAGTTTACTCCCTCCACGGCCCCTGCTTTTCCGCTTCTGCACCGGGACACGCTCTCCCCGCCCGCCCTGGGGAAGAGGGAGGAAGCTCCGGGTCAAGGGGATTTTAAAAACACTGCAAGAACAACACGCGTGTGCAGATGTTCAACCCAGACCTTCCCGCAGGAATCCCGGGATGCAGCCCTGGAGGGAGTAGGCGGAGCCGGGGACCCGGAAGGTCAAATGCCAACCCGGGTCGCGCCGTCCGAGCCGCCCCCCTGGCCACGTCCCGAGGTCAGTTCCCCGCCCCGCCTCTCCGCAGCGTCCCGTCGTCCCCGCGCCGGGCAGGCGGGCAGGACGCACGAGCCAGCACCAGGCCTGTCCGCCGGAAGTGGCGGCCCTTGCGTGCGCCGCGGGAGCTCACGGGGCCGCGGCGCAGGGGGCGGGCGTGGCGTGGACTCTGCGCGCTTGCGTCATCGCGTAGGCTGATGGGTTCCGGGATGAGGAGGTGGCGTATGCGACGCGTAAGGCTGTAGTGGACGGGTCCAGCGAGTCGGGCGAAGCTAGCCCCGCCTCTTAAAGCCGCCCGGGCCTTTCGGTGTGTGCGCAGCGTGGCCGCAGGGCGCGGCGCCTTTAAGCGCCGCGGTGACACGTGTGTGAGGCGCCGGAGGCCCGGATGGTGCGCGTGCGGGGCCGCTGGCCGCAGGAGACGACAACGCCGCGCGGGTCTGAAGCGGGCCGACCCAGGAGCCCGGGTAGGCTGGGGCCGGGTCGGGGCGGCGGGGCTTCCCCCTGGCCTGGCGCGGGGCGCACCGGGGACCCTCAGGAGGGAGTGGGGGCGACGGGCCGGGGTGTCCGCGCAGGAGTTTGGGGTCCCCGAAGAGGGCCGAGCCCGGGGTGCCCTGTGCGCGCGGGTCCGGGGATGCCTGGGAGGCCGGGAGGGTGCGCGCCGGGCCGTCCTGCCGTCCCCCGAGAGCGCGCCCGGCCGGGAGCCCTGGGTAAGGGAAGGCGGCGGCCCGTGTGGACGCGGGCACGGCCTGCACCCACCGCAGCGCCGGTTACGCAGGATCTGGGCTTTCTCCGGAGCTGCTGGAGCCGAGTCGGGAGCGCGGTCTGTCTGGCTGCAGAACGGGGGTCTTACTTCCTTTCCCCGGAGACGGGGGAAGGGCTCGCCCTGGGGAAGGGAACCTTCCTCGCGGTCACGGACGTGCGCTTTCTAAACACCCGTTATTCTAGTGGGGTGCTGCAACGCGTCCCCGGGGGCCCCCGGTGCTGGAGCAGCATCCTGAGCCAGACGGCGAGGGGAACAGTGCGGCGCCCGCACCGTCCGTTTCTTGGGGCGGGTTCGAGAAGCAGGCCTTGGGGACGGGGGGAGGCCCAGGCTGCCCTGGGCGCTCTGCGGGGAGCTGGGGGCCCCTCTCTGAAGGCGCCCTGAGGAGGCCCGCTTGTGTCTTGGGCTCCTCCTCCCAGCACGTGGTCGACCCTGTGAGTCTTGAATGCAGTTTTTTTCTGCAAAAGCGTATTTAAAGGAGGGAGGGAGGGAAAACGTGCTTTATTAAATAGAGTTTGTTCTGAGGAAGCTATGCTTGAGTACTCCCAGAGGTAGAAAGAGATACTAAGTATTGACACATAGGCTGTTCCTGGACCACCAGAGTTTGGAGAGTGTGTTAGTAAGTGCACACATTGCAGGGCTTGCTGATGGTTACAAGAGCATTTTTTCTTGGGTTTCCACACCTCAGAGAGAGCATTTTTAGGTTATTGGTTAATGTTTTAGGTGAAATTGGTAAAGCAAAGGTTGATCATTCTACCGCAGCTTGAAAAATTATGTTTGTCCGGAATCTCTGACTCTGCATCAGGGAGTGGGTTAAGTTTAAGTTACTTATCTTGAGTGAAATGGGGTTAAATATCCCAAGTTTTGTTTATCCCCTGGTTAAGTGGTTCCCAAAGGTTAGCTGATGGTCCGTGACGAAGTTCTGCCCTGTCCACGGTGAGGTATCAGTCCTGACAAAAAGCCATGGCATCAAAGATGGAATTTCATCACTTTGCAGATTGTTCTTTATTCTCTGTGGTTTTGGGGGAGTTGATCCGCTTTTATTGATCGATGAAATGATAGGTGTGAGATTGGCTGTAAAGTAACCTGGGGATGGGGAGGCGAATCAGGATTGCTCGGACATAGTTCTTAAGGCTGAGTAGTGGGGACTCGTGCTCACTGTGCTGTTCTCTGTCCATTTGTGTGTTTGGTCTCAAACTTCTGGTTTTATTCTTTTTTATTTTTTAAAGAGACATGGTCTCACTCTGTCCCCCAGGCTGGAGTACAGTGGTGCAGTCATAGCTCACTGTAGCCTTGAACTCCTGGACTCAAGTGATCCTCCTGCCTCGGCCTTCTGTGTCGCTGGGACTATAGGCATGTGCCATCATTTGTGTGTGTTTGCCTGTTTTCACTGTAAAAAGTTCTTAAGTACCTTAATTTGATAGTGATTGTAGATGGCAATGAAAGAAAACATCCTCACTTAGCAAAGTAAAAATTTGGCAACTCTTAGTGTTCCTTCAGTTGTTTTTAATTTTATTGGTTCATGAAACCCAAAAGCTTGGGATTGTTATTATTACCTGTTACTGTGGAAATGAGATTAGACTGGAGTTGACTGACATGCGTGGGGAGATTTTTGTTCACTGGACTTGTCTCCAGCGTCAGGGTGACGATATGGAGCAGACAGCAGTGTTTTTCATGTCGTGCGCATTACAGTAATTTGTGGCTAGTTAGCACGGTTCTCCTGACTTCAGCACTGTAGGTATTCCTAAGCGGTAATGACAACTTATTCCTGGTACATGGTCGCAGCTGCTACACCTCGTCCATGGGAAGTGGCTGAAGAGACAGCGGGAGGAGAGTCAGCCTTGAATGATGGTCTCACTGTTCATCCCGCAGGCGCCAACACCCATCCTGCAGCTCCGGTGATTTAAGAGGCCAGAGTCCAGGAGCAGGAGCACTTGGATTCAAGGGCCCAGCATAGCACCTGCCCAGTCCAGCGCGGTCCCTGCCTTAAGAACCTGTTTCCATGCTGCAGGGGGACGTAGCAGGCCCAAGTTCACGTATCCCGGGTAAGCCTACAGAGGTTTCTGTGTATTTTTTCATTCCACAGTTACCTGCTCGTGACCCAGCAGTGATTGTTCAATTGGTGAGGAGACTTAGATAATTCCCGAAGAAAAGGCTCTTTTATTTCCTCAAATCGGAGAACTTAGGCTTGTTTCTTAAAAAATCAGTTTTTTATGTTTCTATTCTTTATAGAGGCTTTTACAGGAAAAGATATCTTCTCCATGCACAGAATTAGATGACAATACATTGATTAATTTGAGTGACTTAATCAGAGGTGGAGGAGGGGTCTACTTTCACTGGAGCAGACTTCGGGGCACACCTGACTCGTCCATTCTTTAAGGGCAGGGCAGGTCCTGGATATCAGAGGGAGTTGTCATCTTTCCGCTGCGCGTGCGCAGTTTGAAGGGTGTGTTTTTCTTACGGTGATCCAGATAGCCTGAGCTTGGGCTGGAGGGCTGAGCTGGGAGGTGGCGGGTGGGAAGGGAAGTGGCGGATGCAAGTGTAGCAATGAGCAGGACCGGCCTCCTCTTCGTCGCAGTGTCTGTGCAGCTGCCCTGATGTCATCAAGCCTCTGTCAGGGGCTAATATGTAACAAGCTCTACAGCACTTCCTGAGCTTATTATTTTTGTCATTTTTGTCACCATTTTACCACTGGAGAATAGGAGAAGTTACTAGTAGTTGTCCCTGGGTTTCATAGCTCAGGGCGATAGAAGCCCTTGGGGCTGCCGCCTTCGGGAGACTGGATCTCCCCACTGGCCCCGTTGCTCTTGTTCTGTCTTGTGAGTGGCCTGGGAAGCGATTGCTTGGGTTCAGGTGTCTTGCTGTCCTCCAGGGCTGTGTCTTGCTCTTTCTCTTCTCCCTCGGTCCTCCTCCACTTCTGGAAAGACAATCTGTACAAGGGCTGTCTAGTGGAAATACAATGCAAGCCACAATTTAAAATTTCATAGTGGCCACATTAAAATTAAAAAGAAGGTGAAATTAATTTTCCTAATTTATTTAACCCAATGTTTGTAAAATACTATCATTGCAACCTGTAACCAGTCTACAAATTACTGAGATGTTTTCCATTCTTTTCTTATACTACGTCTTCGAAAACTGGTGTGTATTTTACACTTATAGCACATCTCAATTTGGACTAGCCTCATTTCACGTGCTCAGTAGCCACGTGTGGCCTGTGGCCTTCGTACTGAAGAGTGCAGGTCTGTACAGACACACATGTTAATCTGACCTGCATGCTGCTTCCTTTATCGCATGAGTTTGTCCGTGTGCATGTGTACACAAGTGTGTGTGACCAGAATGTGTGTGAGAAGTAGTGTTTCCCTGTTTTGAGCTAACATTAGAACACGATGGCCTTTGGAAGGAAATAGCACCAAGTGTGTATCCAGAGCCACTTGATGAGTGAGTGTTTAAGAGACGCATGCAGCAGGGGTGGTCACTGCCTGCTTAGCTCTACTGTGGAGGTGCCTTGTCTTTTTGAGAGAGGACACATGGACTCTAATATGTCCACATGATTAGTGATGTGTCTCCTTGCTTCACACTCGTCTATAGGGCTGGCTGCTGACCCAGAAAAGCTTTTATAGTGTTTGGCATCCATAGTGAGCAAAGGGGGGATTTTAAGAGAAGTAATGTATTTGTTCACGAGCCTTCGTTCTTCACAGGTATGTGTTCCTCCTTGTCCCCACAGTGATGCACCATGCCGATAGTGGATAAATTGAAGGAAGCCCTGAAGCCTGGCCGCAAGGACTCGGCCGATGATGGGGAACTGGGGAAGCTTCTGGCCTCCTCTGCCAAGAAAGTTCTTCTGCAGAAGATCGAGTTTGAACCGGCCAGCAAGAGTTTCTCCTACCAGCTGGAGTCCTTAAAGAGCAAATACGTGTTGCTGAACCCTAAAACAGAGGGAGCCAGTTGCCACAAGAGTGGAGATGAACCACAGACCAGAAGACAGGGTACACATTTGTAATAGACTGTTAGAGAGACCCTCACTGTGTGTTTATTGAGTGGATGGACTAAAGTTGACTAACCAGTAGGAACAACAACAGAATGTGGTCACTTAGGAATTTCACGTGGGGTCAATAGATTGTAGTCATAGAAGTAGTGATGCAGGTTTGGTAGTGAGGGAGGAGCTGGCAGGCACTGCTTTGGGTACAGCATTGCTGCAGCGCTGCCTTACTGAGTCAGGAAGTGTCAGAACAAAGTTCCTAATTGCCCTGATCAAAACAAGGTGAAGGCTGGGCAAGTTCTGACCCGTTAGAACCAAGACAGTGTTGGAACACGGCCCCTTCATGAATATTCCTCCCCTTATTTAGCCAGGTGCTTAAATAGAAAGACAACAGGAAGCAGGGGGCCGGTTCTCTTCTGCAGGGAGAATTTGCCTCTACCCTGTCTGTGGTGTAGACTTTCTATAGTTTCTGCAGGGGGCTGGTTCTTTTCTGCAGGGAGAATTTGCCT